TGATTGGCTGAATACCTCAAGCGTGTGACGGAAATGTTACGCCCCTTACCATACTGTGTTTCCGTGTGTCCCGGCGCGACGAGACAAAACCAAATAAAACCCATTACAAACGAGGCATTCGTTTTAGGAGGGTGTAGACGAGTCTTAACTTTTATAAATAATATCTTTTTGGATTTGAGAAACTCTTTGCAACTTTACAGATCTTCTTTATGCACCAAGAGCTTGTAACACTCCAAAGAGAATGGAACAATTTAAATCGCATCATATGGCCCCTTTAAAATGCTGCCTGTGTAGGAAACTCACTATGAGTTTTGGAACAGAGCAGTTGACTTTTCATCAACAGGAAGCATAAATAAAATTGATCAGATCATTTGCGTACATCCATCACTGAGGGTAATTCGTTTGTGTTTTCCCTACAGATGTGCCTGGTTGCCCCTCCATGTATCATCACAATGAGAGCTACCCCAACCCACAGCACAACAGTGAAGGTAAGGACATGGTTTGTTCTTCTAGAACATGCAGCTCTAGTTCTAGAATATGCATTTCACACACTCACAGCATGTCAGGATTGGCCAGTACTGTGCGGTCACTGGCTAACCAGGCCAGAGGGTCTGTGTTTCTGTTGGCATGGACATTTGTTTCTCTCTTGCCTAAAGAATTCCAGGATAAATATTACTACTGGAAAAGACGAGTATTTTTCCTGGAGTGAAGAAAAATAATCCTTCTCTCCGCTTGCTGCATTTGCCGCACCATTTTGGGTATTTTCAGTTAGCTGATCTCTGTAATGAGCCATTAGATACAGAAAATTTAGTTCCTTGCATAAGTGTACATGACCGAATAATAATCATCAAGAATCTATATTTCCCATAATAAGAATTCATAAATATCAGTGGAAAAACAGTTACTGTATTCATTCATTTCAATTTGAAAAGTCAAACAGGAAAATGCTCATTATTATTAATGACTACCATTAATGCATTAGCACAATATACCTGTAACTCAATTGGATTGTCTTGGTATCCACATTGAACTACTAATAATTCCCTTGTCCTATCTTACTAGGTTACATGTTTGAAAATGATTCCCGCGTTGTTCCTGAGAAATTTGAAGGTAAGTCTCACTGGTCCAGATGCTATTTTCATACAATAGGTATTAATTTCAAATTCAAATAATCTGTTCAAGTACCAAGCTCATACAATGAAATGAAGTGCTGTAAGTAAAACTACAACACACAAAAATGAGAAACAAAATCAATAAAGTGGTGCCCAAAAGTTTGAGACCATTACTGAAAATGTATTCAATAATTTTTTTTAATTTTTCCATTACAAATTGTTCCCAGCATAACAATCAGAATGGAAAATTGAATTGAAAAATTAATATAAATCTAGTATTTGGCTGGCCTCTCCTACACTGAATGAACTCCACAAGTTTGAGTAAAACCTGATGATTACATTCTCCAGCATGATTTGAGAATGATCCAAAGAGCATCTTGTGCTTCAGTGGAAGCAAGAACATCAGACCGTCTCTACAAAGGAATTCACATGATCAGCGTCACAAATTTGCTTATTTGATTAGCGACCTAGAAAGCGTACAGAAAAAGAGCTGCATCGATGTGAAAAGAGAAAGAATGCAGATTCCTAAACATTTCTTATTCAGTTCATAACATTTGTTCTTTAACACATTTTTTTAAATCCTAAAATTTGTTTAGTAGGTTTAAATTAGATTTTGAATCTCAGATTTTCAATGTGGTCTCCCCACTCTATGAATATTTGCGATTTCAAATCAAGTCCTTATCACCATGTGTCTTAGCTTGGATAAAAAGTTTTGATATATGATTGCTATCTATAGGTGAATTAATGGACAATCTCTTTTCCTTTGCTCAGGTGAGGTGAAGCAGGAAGGAGGCGGTGTGTTTCGTGAAGGCGCCCCCTATCAGCGCCGTGGCTCACTTCAGCTCTGGCAGTTTTTGGTGGCCCTCCTCGACGACCCTGCCAATGCTCACTTCATTGCATGGACCGGCCGTGGCATGGAGTTCAAACTCATTGAGCCAGAGGAGGTAAAAATTGGGCTTTTAAGAGTTCTCAGAAGGCAAAATATGTTTTTATATCCAGAAAACGTTAATAGCAATTGATCATTCAAAGATCTAAGATGACAATATGAATACTGGGAGGTTCAGATCAATTCGATGCAGTGTTTATTCAGCCTTCACAAACTATAGAGAGAATAAACAATGGGTTTCAGAGATTTGCTTGCGATCAGCTCATAGTTCCCCAGGGTCTAAGAACACATCTACACAATGCCAGTTTTCCATTAGCTGCCATGCATTATTTACCCACTTAACAGCATAGTGAAATAAAATGGAGAATGGCTCCATTACCAAATATTACAACCTTCCATTTTGCCGGAGTCCAAGCACACCGCAGCAGTCGAGACGAGAGCGTTAACCTCCTATTGTCTGTGGTCAGTAGACGGCTAAATGGCATGACTCAGCAAACTATCCTGCAGAGATACATCCATCAATTCTGCTCAACCGTACACATGAATCATTCATTACAGCCAAAATTTTACTATCGGAATTAAAGCATAGAGCTCTGTTGAAGACCAAACAATTTGTTCCTTAAATGTCTACTGGCCCAAGATGGAACAAAACATTTTTCTAGGGCCCTCAAGTTGATCTTTTAAGTTTGGGATAAATGAGTATTTCCTCTAGGTTTGACAACTAGTAGTTTGAGCTGTGCACCGTGTGGTGTTTTGGTCAGCGTTTAGTGGTAAATGCTTCTTTGGTTATATAAAGGCAACTGCATTATTTTGTGGGGACTCGCCCTTCCTTTTCATAGTTCAGTTGTTGTACAGTCACAAAGGACCTCTTGTGTTCAAATTAAGTCACTGCAGTACAGTCATTTCCTGCTCTTATGGTTTGTATTATGACTTATTTTGACACTCTAGGTGGCAAGACTCTGGGGGATGCAGAAGAACCGTCCAGCCATGAATTACGACAAACTGAGTCGTTCTTTGCGCTACTATTATGAGAAGGGAATTATGCAAAAGGTATTGCATATCATATTTTATTGTCTCCTATGCAATTTTTTTTCTTCACTTCAACCTTTACGTTGGGTTGGGATTTACTTTACTCTCTATTTGGGATCGCAGAGACTCCAAATATAGACTCCAGAATGATTTGTGTAAAATTATTATTATTAATAATAATAATAATAATAATAATAATAATAACCTAATTCCAAAATTTAAATTTTATCTAATCAAGTAATGTTGTTTCTGTCTGGTGTCAGTTTGATGATCAAATAAACGTATATAAATTACTAATTTATTTAAATTATACAAAACAATACAAAATTTATTTTTAATTACATATGATATATGCATTTCATTTCCATTTTTATTTCTAGGGTGTCAAATTAACCGCAAACAGAAACATTTTTCATGGATGATCTAACAATTCATTTTGTATCAACCTGATACTTCCATGTTAAGCATGTTTTTTGTAATGTTAAAAATGAGTTTGGGGTCCCAAACAGAACATGAGGGTTATTATTTTTAATTGAAATATTTAAAAACTTTTTTTTCCCAGGTGGCGGGTGAGCGTTATGTTTACAAATTTGTGTGTGAGCCGGAGGCTCTAATATCCTTGGCTTTTCCTGACAATCAGCGGCCAAGTCTGAAGGCAGAATTCGAACGCTACGTCAACGAGGAGGACACTGTGCCGCTGTCTCACCTCGATGAGGGGGTATCTTACCCTTCTGAACCAGCTGCCACCAACATTGGCCCTCAGTCGTACTCCAAAGGCTACATGTACTAATGCCACCAACATTCTCCCATGTTCCCCATCCCAGTTTACTACCCGCTGCACCTATTGCACATGCCCACCCCATCCACTTGTATATAAGGCTGTTTTTTTATTTTTGTTTTTTGATTAAATTAATCTCATTAGGGACTCTGCATTCCTATCACTTCTGAGGCCTATCTAATCTAAACACAGTACTGTGGTTCAAGAGATTGCTTAATAAAGACCCAATATTACTACTACACCATGAGAATGGTCTCTGTTTTTTATGTTTTCAACAAATGCAAAATGCACAAACAGGTGGTGTTTACCATTGGCTGATGCAGTTTACTATAGAAATCAATTAAACTCAAATACAATTTTGTAATGTAAACTAACCTCCAGTATAAATCTGACATTCATACAACACATGTCTTTATGCAGACTGTGTTAAGACATTTATATATTACCACACACATTAGCGCTGGAATGATGTCATATTTGACTCATTATCTCATCAGACTTATTAAATTAGCATTTAGGTGCTATAAGCAATGTTAGGCGTTCTAGAACCTTCGTGAGACAGAGGCCATTAACACAGAACGCGTTTTTGTGTAACACTGCGCTGCTTTTCAATTGTTTTTGTAAACATGCGCTCACGCCTTTTGCAGCAGCGTTCTGAAAAACGTTCAAATTAAAAGTTGCCACCGAATTACACACGCCCCATCTTTCAACAGCATTTTTACCTGTCAAAAAGAAGCAACGCAGGCTCTCAGCTCCCTCCAGCGACGAAACCCGAATTAACATTCTCAAAACGATGTTCACCCTCTACACGTTTTTGGGGTTTTTAATTCCCTCCGTCTGTGTAATCGGTTGTCGACAGGTGAGAGATGGTGAGCACGTGAAACTCCTGAACCGCTTCATCTTTCGCGCTCTGGACTTCCGCCTTTCCATTTATGGGCAGTGCGCTGTGAGCGCGCAAATTGATTTGTGACAGGCAGACAGTATCAAACACATTCTGATTGGCTAAAAAGATTCTGCCTTTACAGTAGTAATCATTTTCTACATACCATGTCAAACTAATTTTCTCACAGCATCTTTAAATAACAGAAGCTTGGAATAATTGTGTAATTGAAAATCAAGACTTGTCTAACTAGCCAGCTTCCCCCCCCCCATTTACTTACAAGTCTGGTTTTATATTGCTTTCAGTATCTGGTCTGACCCCCTTTTGCAACAATAACTGCAGGTAATGTTTCTTGTAACTGCAGATCAGTCCTGCACAACATCTTGAAGGAGGTTTAGACCATTCCTTAGTACAGAACCGCTTCAGCTCTGTGTGTTGGTGGATTTCCTCCAATGAACTACTTGCTTCAGTTCCTTCCACAATTTCAATTGGATTAAGGTCCGGACATTGACTTGACCATTACGAAACATTTGCTTTGTTCTTCTTTAACCATTCTTTGGTAGAACAACTTGTGTGCTTGGGGTCGTTGTCTTGCTGCATGACCCACTTTCTCTTGAGAATTAGTTTACTGACAGATGTCCTGACATAATTATAATTCATTGTTCCATCAATGATGGCAAGCTGTCCTGGTCCAGATGCAGCAAAACAGGCCCAAACCATGATACTACCACCATGTTTCACAGATTGGATAAGGTTCTTATGCTGGAATGCAGTGTGTTCTTTTCTTCAAACATAACGCTTCCCATTTAAACCAAAAAAGTTATATTTTGGTCGCATCTTTCCACAAAACATTTCTCCAGTAGCCTTTTCCTCCATTTGTACACAATCTGTCTGACTGTGGATTTGTGGAGTCAAAACTCTTTAGAGATTTTTTTGTAACCTTTTCTAGCCTGATGAGCAACAGCAACTCATTTTCTGAGGTCCTCAGAGATCTCCTTTGATCATGCCATGATACACTTCCACAAACATGATCAGACTTTTGATAGATCCCTGTTCTTTAAATAAAACAGGGCACACACTTACACCTGATAGTAATTTCACTGATTGAAAACAACTCTGAAAAACAGATGGACTCTAATTTCACCTTCAAATTAACTTCCAATCCTAAAGAGTCACATACTTTTGCCACTCACAGATACGTAATATTGTATACACTCATGTGATACTGCTTATTTATGAGCTCACCAAAAAAACAGAAAGTGGGACTTTAATTAAGAAGAACATTTTAATTTAAGTTGACATCAAAATGACTCCAAGATATGACATAAGCTGTAACAATATAAAAAACTGCAGGACATTTCCATCCCCCATCGCTTCCTCTAATGGAAGAGCTATAATACAAAATCTCCACTGTGGTCCAATACACTGATCCTGTGCTGTAATTTAAACATTAAAACAGAAGAGATGTCCCAAATAAAGATGAGATCTATGTGTGATATATAACATCCTGTTCACTTGTACATGACCAGACCTCCGCAGAGGAACTAACTGAATTAATAAAAACCCTTTCCCTCTCAGCACTGTAACCAACATCCACTGACCAGACGGATATGCTGTCCACACATTCTACAACACAAATGGGTCATTCCGTTGAATCTGGGTGAAAAAGAGCTGCACTATACAATGCAAATAACTGATTTATGTTAAAGGGATAGCTCGTTTTAAAAAGTCAAATTACCTGGATTTAGCATTCAACACAGGGTTAAATAACCCAGATAATTTTATTTCATATTTTGATCCCTCAGGTTATTTTATTCTTTTAAATACAAGGTAGGGATAATTTCAATCATAAATCCCAGGGAGACATCCAAAATAAAAATATAAAATGAAATGCTTCTGATAAAAACCTCATGTTTCTTACGAACATTTTAAGATTCTGTCCATTTTATCCTCCACTCTGCCAACACCACAAAGTTGATGTTTTGTTCAGCGGCAGTATGGGACACTCGCAGTCTATGAGGACGTTGTGTGAAGGTTCTAGCGTCGTCTGAAGGCTCTGGATATTCTCCAGGCATTTGGTTCCTCGTAGCGGTTGTAGAGGGGCTCCAACCGCTGCTGTTTCTTCTGCTTGCTGAGGCGTGTGGGATCAGAGACTTTGAAGAATGCTGGAGAAAATTCTACAAGCCACCTTGGGTCAATGGTGGTCACCTCCCTCATGTACTCTTTAGTGGTCAGCACAAGCTCATGATACACCACCCTGGGAAAAGGAAGGGATGGAATCCAGCTTTAGTACAAGCAGCATGGATACTAAGTTGTGTTGTTAATCTCTTCTGGCAACATTGTTGGTGGCAAACATACCATTCTGGTTGGCGATTGAACAACGCACTAGAGGGGTGGATGTAGACCACCTGCTGGTCTATGAGGGTCCTGTAACCTTCTTGAGGGTCTTTTTTGGCTGCATTTCGGAAGAAACCACTGCAGATGGCTTTCTGTACACGTACTGTGGCTTTACCGCATGATACCACATCCAGCTTGTGTCTGAAGACAGAAAAATGTGTAATCATGGAGTGTAAAGGGCCGTTCACACCAAGGATGACAACTAGGGCTGCACGATAAATCGAAATGGAATCGACATCGCGATTCGACAGAAGCTGCGATTGTCATGCGTATCTTTCAGTGAAGCACGGTTCTGTGATCAGCAGATTTCTTCGATTTCATAATAGCGCGATAAAAAATGCGATTTTTTTGCGTAACTTGTCAGTGAACTACGGCTATGTGTAGTAAATTCTGCTCCATCTGAAAGCACGTGATGATGATTTCCTGCTGATTACAGAACCGGCTTTACAAACAAAATGCGCATGACAATCGCATTCGATTAATCGTGCAGCCCTAATGACAACTATAACAAAGTTTTAAAAATCATTCCTATTCTATGAGAATAGGGAAGTTCACACCACAACTATAACCATAATGACAGAGGAATGATATCAATATAATCACTTCCAGATTTTTTCCTATAATAAACATGGCCAATCAGAATCCACTCAACTTTAAAGAACTGGAGCAAAGCAGTGAATGACATAACTGCAGCTCATACTTATAATAAAGTGAATGTTATTGTCCGTTGGTGTCAACGCTAGTATAGTTATCAATATAGTTATTGCACTTGGTGTGAATAGGCCTTAAGGCTTAGGGTGTGTAATATGATGTAAGGAAGTCATATAAAGTTACTGTTATTCTCAACCCCCCCACCTATCCATGATGCCCAGCATCTGTTTGCGGATATCCTGCGCACGACGGAGAGATCGCGCCTGGATGAAGTTTTCGTAGCACCAGGGGTTGGAAAACTTGTTGTTCTTCCAGGAGTTGTAGACAGCCAACAAAGTCAGGTGGTCCCCCTCAGGCTGGTGAAACTTAGCCTTCTTCTGGTCTGCCAGAGCTTGTTTGTCCTGAGATTCAGAGTAAAATCATGATTACTATCTTTGGGATCAGTTTGATAGGATACCAAAAACTCCATGTAATGATGTAACCGTTCCTTGACCATTCATGGATCTGTTAACATGTGTGGGCTAAAGGAGTACCTTTGGTCTATAGAAGACATTCTGTACTGAGAGCATTGACACTATGGTCAGCATCTCTTCGCTACAGCCAAGATGGACGGACATGATCAACATCTTACAAAGCATGGGCTCCAGAGGAAACTCAGCCATCTGATAGGAACAGTGACAAGAAACTTAAAACTTTATTTTGAAAACTGAGCAGCTACAACCAAAACCTCAATAAAGCACACATTCACAAACTTAAGCAAAGAGACACACTTACTCTACGACCGAGGCGTGTGAGCAAACCTTCATCATCCAACGATCCTAGAGTGTACAGCTGCTCCATGGCCGTGATGAGCGTCTCCATGGGCGGAGCATCCATGAAATCAAATGACAATAGGTCATTGATGCCCATTGCCTGATTGGAGAAAAATGCTCATAATATTAATGATACACTTATACAAATCCAGTATTAGACATTTTAGTTTTCATTTATCAGCAAATACAGGATAAGTAATTATCTTCTATTGTCTATTTAACTGTACATTATCTTTTTTTTTTTTACATTTAGATTCTCTTTTTATCATATAACCCTCAATTAAAAGTTTATCATTAGGTGCGTTTCCATTACAGATTTGCGCAAAACTTTGGCGATATTTTATAAACATCGATAAAAAAGTATTGCGAAATGACAGCATTTCCATTAACCAATGTTATGCGACTAAAACGTAATTTTTCCCTCTCGTGATAAGTTATGGCAATGGATTTTGATGGGATTTTGACGGATTTTGGCTACACTAGCCATTATATTTGATCGAAGGAAGCGTAAGCGTGTATCTTGACAGAAGCAGCGCGGAGAGCAGCTTCTGGGACATGCCGTGGCGTGACTGGTAACACAAGCTTTGACTAGAGTGGCCTCGATCAGCTCCGATGGCCGTTTCAGAGCCATAACGCGCCACAGACGTGTGCAGTGTAAATATTCCAAGCATTAATGGAAGGGAGAGCAGCCACATATGAAGTGTTTCTTGGAGGTTATAGTACATTAAGGAATGATCATATGACTTTTTACGTACGCCATGTGACCTGTTAATGCAGAAAAAAAAACGTTTTCATTGCAGTTTTGCGAAATATTCCTTTTTCGAATTGCCTGAAAAACCACCTCATGCGAGCGTAAAAACTTTTTTGCGTTATATATGGGCGTTTTTGCGAAATTGATGCGTTTCCATTAGGCGTATTTTCAATTCGCAATTTCAATTTGGGCAGTTTGAAGGGTAATGGAAACGCAGCTATTGTCTTAACTATTGTACCTTTAAAGGAACACTCATTTTCCAACTCCCCTAGAGTTAAACAGTTGAGTTTTACCGTTTTCGAATCCATTCAGCCGATCTCCGGGTCTGGCGGTAGCACTATTAGCAGCAGCATAGATCATTACAGCTAAAAGTGCTACCGCCAGACCCGGACATTGGATGAATGGATTCGAGAACGGTAAAACTCAACTGTTTAACTCTAGGGGAGTTGGAAAATGAGCCTGTTTTCAAAAATAGTGGAGTGTTCCTTTAATAACACTAATAATTTAATGACAAATCTCATAATAAATATTTATAACATTTTTCAAACAGTACATTATAATGTTGTGATGCCTAAATTTACTTGTAGTATTTAAAATATTTGATTTTAGCTTATTTTTATCATTTTGGATTTTTTAAATTTTTATATCAGTCATGTAATTATCGGTGTATCTGTATGTGCAAGAATTTTAATATTGTTGCAACCCTTAAAAATGACTCAACATTAGAACTGTTTAATTTTGTCACAATGAGCTTCATGTCAGTTCGCTTCTGTACAGTCTAAATAAAACAAAAACAAGACACTATTACATACGCCTCAAAAGAGATGGACAAATCTAAGCACCTTAGTTTGTCACTTTCACACATTTTTGCCCCATGTTTTATGAGATTAGAAAGCAACTCAGTGTTTAAAACAGTTCAAAATCTTTAAGTTTAGATCTTGCATGCCTCATTTTTATCAATTTATTTTTAAGTTGCATATTGTTCACTTTATTTAAAAAAAGTAAAAAAATAAATAATTACTACTACTACTAATAATTTAAACAGTTTAAATAAATAAATTATATATATATATATATATATATTATATTTTAATATTGAAAGAAGTTTTTTTATGTTCACCAAGGCTGCACTGAATGATTCACATTAAAAACAGTAATACTGTGAAATATCACTACAATCTAAATTAAAGGTTTTCTATTTTAATACATTTTAAAATGTAATTAATTCTTTTGATGACAATGCTGAATTTTCAGCAGCCATTTCTTCAGTGTCACATGATCATCCAGAAATTTAGTATTGATGATTTGCTGCTCAAGTAACATTTCTTCCCTTTTTGTGAAAGCTGCGATACATTTTTTTTTTTTTTTTCAGGATTCTTTGATTAATAGAAAGTTCAAAAGAATAGCATTTATTTGAAATAGAAATTAATTGTAACAATGCTAAAGTCTTTACTATCACACTTTAATGCTTCCTTGCTAAATAAAAATATTATATTTTCAAATAAATTAACAAATAAATAAAATTAAATCTTTATTGACCCTGACACTCTGACTGTGTGAAGAAAGCCTCAATTTGTGAACCGTACCTTCTTGAGCAGGCCAAAGAGCACGTCTGTGTGAATGGTTCTCTCATGGGCCTCATCCAACATAATGATTGCATACTGGCCCAGATCAGGGTCAATCAGACACTCTCTTAACAGCATACCGTCCGTCATGTACTTAATGACAGTCTCGGGACTTGTGCAGTCCTCAAAACGGATGGTGTATCCAACCTGCACACACAGAAAGAGATCCGTTTCAAACTACTGTGGTCAAATATTAGATCACTGATGCCTATGTTGTATAAATTAATATAAGAAAGCATCTACCTCTTGACCTAAACAACAACCGTACTCCTCCGACACTCTTTTAGCCACAGACATGGCTGCCACTCTTCTGGGTTGTGTGCACCCGATCTTCCCTCGTGTGGTGTATCCAGCCTCAGCCAGGTACTGAGTGATCTGAGTGGTCTTCCCTGAGCCCGTCTCACCGATCACAATCAGGATCTGGTTGTCATGGACAGCCTGTAAAGACACAATAGTCAAATCTATGAACATAACTAAACTGAAATCTAGCTCAGGATGAATCTACATATCAGTTAAAGTCACACCTGAATGAGCTGCTCTTTCAGCTTGTAGATAGGAAGACTCTCTCTTTGCTCTAGAATAGAAAGTTGAGTCTTTTTTCCATAGGACGCCTTGTTGCCACCAAAGGCGTGTTTCTTCCATTCTGGGATGTCGTTGGGCATCATACCTATGCCCCTCATGTTGGCAGCTATCTGCCTGCCGTCGGCTATATGGATGGTGAGCGTGAGAAAACAGAAAAAAAGCATTTATTAGAGATGCACAAACATGATAACAGACTTGTGTTCATACAAAGCCAGAGGGCATACAAGCATCAGAGATAGGCTTGTTATGTGCAGACCAACCACCTTCTGCCTCGAGAGCAGAGTGCAGGAAATCAGATGGTCATCTACAAACTCCCTAAACCACAGTATGGACAAATAGGAAGGAAGTTTATCTGGAATTATCAGAGTCTTTCATATTACATAACCGCTTGTTCTTTTTTTTAACTGGAGGACATGGACTTCAGTTTACTCACACAATCCTACCTCACTATATACTTAATCAGACTGTTTTTAATTTTAGTCTTCAAAAGGCATCAGATGTGTGATATTCCTGTTTGATATCTCAGAATTCTGACCATAAAATCATTTGTGCACTTGTAAGATTATTATTATTGTTTTTAAATGGCAATGCTACCTTTAGCTTTGCAGGTGTTTTTTCAAATGAAGTTTGAATGTCTTACTGTCAGGCAGTGGGTCCACCCAGTGTTTGTTAAGGCCCGTGGGTATCGAGTCCATTTCAGCCTCCCGCTGGGCCTGTTTCACCTCCCGTCGCTCTTTGGCCAGGGCACTCTGCATCATGGCTGCTTGGGAGAGAGATCCATCGGGGTTCTGCCAGAAAAAAAAACAAAAAAATATGCAATTGTAAAATCACAGATTATGTCTGTATCAGTAAAATCAAGAGCTTTGCTTCCTACATTGCTCAGGCAGCTGTCGAGTGAGAGGTGGCTTGGCCTACCTTGACAATCTTGACAGGACTCATGTCCATGCTTTGTTTGGTGTGCCCCCTCAGGAATGGAGGTTCCTCTTCCACCAGCTCAATCTCCAAGTCCTCATCTGGTAGACAAACCACAACACAGACCAAATTTGAGGTGTTCCAACAAAAACAACTTTTTTGTGATGGGATTTTATTTATTGGCATGTTAAAAATATTGAGTTAAAGGATAATACAACTCATACCCTCCTCATCATCAACTTTAGGCAGAATTCCTGTCTCTTCATCAAAGTCTGGGAATTCCTCCTTAGACAACACATTGGCAGCAATCATCTAAGAACAGACAGATGTTAAAATATGAACATATGTAATAAATAAGGCTAGGTATCGAGTTAGATACTTTTTAGGCACTGACAGAATTGCCTCGATACCATCGAGTATCGAAAAATGTCTTGTCGTTCGGTACCAAATTTAGATACCTAAGGGGTTAATCTCGTCAACGTCAGTAGGTACGTTTACATGGACACTTTTTGCTTCCATCGGAATGAATTCCATTCTGATTGACAAATCCGAACGTAGTGTTTACATGAACGCTAAATAAAGTGATCAGGTTGATATGCGCGTTTATATGTCACAAGCTTCTGATCGGAATTAATCTTTTGACATGCGCAAAAAAGCATTTATTAGAGATGCACAAACATGATAACAGACTTGTGTTCATACAAAGCCAGAGGGCATACAAGCATCAGAGATAGGCTTGTTATGTGCAGACCAACCACCTTCTGCCTCGAGAGCAGAGTGCAGGAAATCAGATGGTCATCTACAAACTCCCTAAACCACAGTATGGACAAATAGGAAGGAAGTTTATCTGGAATTATCAGAGTCTTTCATATTACATAACCGCTTGTTCTTTTTTTTAACTGGAGGACATGGACTTCAGTTTACTCACACAATCCTACCTCACTATATACTTAATCAGACTGTTTTTAATTTTAGTCTTCAAAAGGCATCAGATGTGTGATATTCCTGTTTGATATCTCAGAATTCTGACCATAAAATCATTTGTGCACTTGTAAGATTATTATTATTGTTTTTAAATGGCAATGCTACCTTTAGCTTTGCAGGTGTTTTTTCAAATGAAGTTTGAATGTCTTACTGTCAGGCAGTGGGTCCACCCAGTGTTTGTTTAGGCCCGTGGGTATCGAGTCCATTTCAGCCTCCCGTTGGGCCTGTTTCACCTCCCGTCGCTCTTTGGCCAGGGCACTCTGCATCATGGCTGCTTGGGAGAGAGATCCATCGGGGTTCTGCCAGAAAAAAAAACAAAAAAATATGCAATTGTAAAATCACAGATTATGTCTGTATCAGTAAAATCAAGAGCTTTGCTTCCTACATTGCTCAGGCAGCTGTCGAGTGAGAGGTGGCTTGGCCTACCTTGACAATCTTGACAGGACTCATGTCCATGCTTTGTTTGGTGTGCCCCCTCAGGAATGGAGGTTCCTCTTCCACCAGCTCAATCTCCAAGTCCTCATCTGGTAGACAAACCACAACACAGACCAAATTTGAGGTGTTCCAACAAAAACAACTTTTTTGTGATGGGATTGGCATGTTAAGCATGTTAAAAATATTGAGTTAAAGGATAATACAACTCATACCCTCCTCATCATCAACTTTTCCTGTCTCTCCTGTCTCTTCATCAAAGTCTGGGAATTCCTCCTTAGACAACACATTGGCAGCAATCATCTAAGAACAGACAGATGTTAAAATATGAACATATGTAATAAATAAGGCTAGGTATCGAGTTAGATACTTTTTAGGCACTGACAGAATTGCCTCGATACCATCGAGTATCGAAAAATGTCTTGTCGTTCGGTACCAAATTTAGATACCTAAGGGGTTAATCTCGTCAACGTCAGTAGGTACGTTTACATGGACACTTTTTGCTTCCATCGGAATGAATTCCATTCTGATTGACAAATCCGAACGTAGTGTTTACATGAACGCTAAATAAAGTGATCAGGTTGATATGCGCGTTTATATGTCACAAGCTTCTGATCGGAATTAATCTTTTGACATGCGCACACTGCATGGATATACAGAGTTTCTTTAAATGTTTTAGTTTTGAAGTGTTGTTGTATGCATTTGTCATTTTTATTTAATTTCTTTTATTTTCTTAAATGTGTGTATATATAGTATTTAAAGAGTTTTAGCTTTTAGTTTTAATTACTTTTTCTTATTTGTAAGTCGCTTTGGATAAAAGCGTCTGCTAAATGACTAAAAGTAAAAGTAAAAGTAAAAGGAAGAACAGCTCGTTCCGTGCGTCACACGTCATTACGCTATTTCTACATCACTGCGCATGCGCAGTACTTTCCAGTTTCGGTTTTCAATCCGATCAAGTGTTTACATGTCCTCTCGCTCGGATTGCAAAAGGAATAAACCACCCCTTACAATCCGATCTAAATTTTAGTCGGATCTGGCCAATTCAATCCCATTGATGTGTTTACATGTGACTTTTTTATTCTGATTGTGCTTCTAGTCCTATTACGATCAGATTAGTAGGGTCCATGTAAATGCAGCTAGTGAGCCAGTAAGCGTGCAGCATGCTTGATGCGCCTAAATCAAGTTCTGGTGACTGGCTCTGGTGAGGCATCCAGGAAAAACACTAGTTTACATCGGTTCTGCCCAGAGACGTGGCTCACACGTGAGACTGTAGCATCAGACCTCCACAGATGTAAGGCTACGTTTACACTACAAAACAGCATTTTGTATGAAATGAAAACGATACTCGTCCTTACTGGCATTTCCACTGCATTTCAGAAAAGATCTCTGTCCACACTATATGACCGAAAACATGTGTAACGTGACCATTCATGCACACTGTAGCATCATGCTACATAAGACAATTTATCAGATTTATAATACGTTTTAACTCAAAGCTCACTTTAAACCACCATCGAGTGTTTGTAATAACTTCCGGTTTTAATAGAAATTATGATTCTGTCTAAGCTATGCATTTTAAAACGAAAATGCACTAGTGTAAACGTAGCCTAAAAGATGTGGAAACTGAAAACTATTTGAACTTTATTAAAACTATTTGCACTGATTTATTGTGTTGGTTACATTTTGTTCCTTTGTGCAGTGGCTCAGGAGATGAGCCTTTGACTCTGTAAAAACGTCAATAAGTTGAAAAAATAAAACCAAAAAGTTTTTGAGGTAATGTGTAATGTTATCTTGTTAAAGCAGATTTTTATAAAATTGGTATTGAAAAAAGAATCGTTCAGGAACTGGTATTAAAGTCAAGGTATCGGTATCGAAAATTTTTGAACGATACTCAGTTCTAGTAATAAATGTTATAACAAGAAATGATATCACATTAAAGATGGCCATGTACCTGTTTGATTTCCCACTTCTCCGGATCGGATATCTTGGTGAGTCTTTTGCGTTCCAATGTGTCATCCTCTACCTCTGGAGCATGGCCCAGGTTGAGGTTAGTGGGTCTGTCAGGATTCCTCATGGCCGACTCTTCCTGACCTTCTCCACCCACATTTCTCCTCCTGTTAGGGTTAAGATCTTCACCAGTGTCCTGGTCAACGTCCTTGTAAAAGCAAGACAACCCAACAAAAATCAGCCCACATATAACGCACAGTGATCAATCAATATAAAATACAAGCTGAGCACAAAATATTTTTCATATGCGTAATAATAATAATGATAAAAAGCAATAACATAGTAAGTAATAATAATGATAATAATTATTATTATTATTACTACCATTATTATTTTCACTAAAATCATAATATGCAAATCTAAATTTGTCTGTATTAATAAAAAGACAAAACAACAATAATAATAGTAATAATTACTACAATTACTATGATCACTATAATTAATATTATAATGTAGCAGTCTTTAAATAACAAACAAAATAACAAACTTTGTATATGTATTTTTGTTTAGTGGCCCAAAAATATGCAGAATATCACAATTATTTTTTTAAAGAATTTAACAAATCTGTAAATAAAATGTACAGATTTAAAAATGCATATTTTAACTGTTTTCTAAATTGGTGACTTTTTGGACCTCAGTGTATGCAGTTCTGTCAGTTCTCTCTCTCACAGCTTTCATTAAGATAGAGCTCACTCACCTTCATACTGAGACTTGTTTTGGATCCAGTGAAGGACAACACCTTGACTTTGACCCTTTGACCTTTGCTGACCACATCTGCCACATTTGCTACCCGACCTTCTCTTCTGAGCTCAGAAATATGGACCAAGCCTTCCCAGCGTTTCCTTTTTTGGAAGAAAGATGCAAGAAAAATTATGTAAAAAAAAATAAATAAAAAATAAAGAATATAATAAACACTTACATAAATTTCAATAGCCTTAGAAGTAGATTAACTGTATTTAAAACATACCTGAGACCTTCCAACTGCACAAAGCAGCCAAACTGCATAATACTGGTGACTTTGCCATTGTAGATATCCCCCACAGATGGCTCCTCCGGTGGGGGCCGGTCAACATGTTTGTCCTTCCAGCGGTCGGAGCCTTTATCTCGGTCTCCCCGTGCAGGACTCCTGGACCTGCTGCGAGAGTGCCAGCGGCTCCTGCGCTTCCTTCTGTCTCTCTCATTGGAGCGAGATCTGGAACGGGAGCGAGAGCGATGGCGTCTCCGTCTGTCTTTGTCTCTTTCCCTATCCCTGTCTCTGTCTCTGCTCCGACTGCGGCTTCTGCTCCTCCGCTTCTTCTTACTGCTGCTGCTGGTTTCGGATCTAAGACGGATGCCACTTACACGTTAAAAAGCAACAATATGTTGCAGCGGGGCAATCACTGCAGCACCAAGTTCAATGGCATCTATTTTATGTTACAGAAGTTCCTCACCTGTGTTTACTGCTGCTAGGTTCTGTACCACTAACACTAGGCATAAACATCTCCAACTCTTTCATGGCATCATCAGCAACTTTCACATCATCCTCATCCAGCATAGTCTGATTAGAAGAACAGATATAGTTTATGACCCATAAGTGGTTACTGCTGATTAAAAACACATTTGAAGTTATTTATATAGTCAATGCATATATAGAATTACCCTAGTATTAGGATTGTCAGGTCTGCACAGAGCTGGAAACAGCTCTTTCAGCTGGTCCTTTTCATTCTTTGGTTTAGCCACAGGATGAGATCCTATGCAATAAAGATCACATAAGAAAACAGTATTATTAGGAGGTATGAAAATATGGCATGAAAAATGCACTCTTGGCCTGATAATGTTGTTGATATCAAAATTAACTGTTATTCTATAAGACCCTGAATGCCCTTACCTTTACTGGTAGATGCTTTTGCAGGAGGACGCATGGTTTGAATGAGACGAAGCAAATTGCTGACGAGTGAATCCTAAAGGACAGAGATTCGATATTACTAAAACTCCAAATGTAAAATCACAACACACAAAACTGAAGGAACAAATTCTTGACATAGATGAGATTTAAAAAATCCTTACTGAGAAATCGGCTCCATTTTTTACCAGCACTGACTTAAATCCATCAATGGTTGGATGTTTCTCAGCAAGACTGATTACAAACTCAGCTGAAAAACACATAAACCAACAGACTGTTGCTACAGACTTCCATAGACACACACATTGTGCCTCTGTCTTTAACATTTGTAAATAAGTTGACTAACTCCTTACCAAAATGTACTGTGATAGTCTTTGCCAAAATACCTTTTACTAAAGTAACTGCTTCTACCGTAAAACCTTTTAACAGCTTTCAAATGATTTCAAAGTAGGAAAGACATTTCCAAAAAAACAACAAACAATGCAGCTCTACCACATAACGACCACGTTACTAAATAAAAACCACGTTTTTAAATATAAAAGGATTCTAGATAAACGAAAGGTGTAACATAATAGGGTGACTGAATAGTATTTAATAACACAAATTAGCGGTTTGTTCCAGTTACATTTTGTACACAAACATTGATTCCACATGTAGAAACAGGCTAACAAGCTATTTACGATACAGCTACCAACAACGTGACACACGGTCAAGTTAAATTTATAAACTTACCAAGGTCCTTATCGTTGATTCCTAAATGGTTGTCAAGTTCGGTACAAACTTTAGACACCAAAGACAAATATTCGAGCTTTTTGAGCTCGTCTTCCCCGATCTCTGCCATCTCTTCAGCAATGTTGTTGTTTCGTTCACCGGAAGAAAGTGGCAACAGTTCCTCTTGTCCTGTAACTTCTAATTCCGGGTTACATTACAAGCGTCCTCTAACGGACAAATGAGGAATTGTTCTGAAGGAGGGCAAATCCAAATCCAAAACCTGTACTGAAATGCTAAATTATTATGTTGGCTTGGTGACAATACCTGGGCCCTAATTGCGTGAAGTGTGCTATATCTTTTCAGACTGATCAGACTTACAGTTTATTTATAAATAATTTTTAAATATGAAAAATTTCCCATAGACTTACATTTGTCTGACAAAAATTGCGCCTCTAGAGGAGAAATACCCGTCTCTTGAGGGAGGAGTCTTCCAACTCATCTTAGTTTCACTTTAAAAACGGTTCAAAATACCAATAAATACATGAATTTCATTCACACTGACAAGCTAAACCAACATATCTGATTATTACCTGCTTCAGGGCTCATTAATAATGACTGTTTGGCCAGAGAACCGTGTGAAACACGAGAGAACAACTGAAAATCATTCGTTTGTCTTGGCTTTTTTTATTTATTTATAAATAAGAGAATCAATATTTAATTAAAACCATGCAATGCTATTTTTGGATTCTTCCATTTCTGCATCTAAACATCTACAAAACCTGCTCTGTTATACTGTTGTTTGCAAATTGTTTATCGCGCAATTTAACTCGTATCTAAAAAATTTTCATAATAAACTTGTTGGTTAGAATAGACAATTACAGCGGTCTATAATACAAATGACCAGGGTTTGTACAAGCTGCTTAAAGAGCTTGAAGTAGCCTACTTGTCCTTTACTTTTTGAAATGTAAATCCTACAAATAAAAAACCTTGGAAACAGCCATATTTATGAAAAGGTGCCTGACCTATTGAAAAACAATATGAATTAAATTAGTCTTCAATTTTTAGTAATGACAATTTTTGTTGTCATAAAATCCTTTATTACAAAAAAAAAATAACAATTGTCTATACTAAATATTATGAAAAAAATTACTCTTGTCGATTAATGAACACTGAACGGAAAAAAAGGCTACATACAGAAACTACATCGTTTACATGCCTTTTAAAAGCTTCTGCATTAAAAAACTCCAACGAATTAAGGCAATAAAATTATAACAATATATTATTGAGGTAATATGACTGCTTGTGAGATATTTTTTTTGTCTAAATGCAGAGCAACGCGCGGTTCTCATTCCGGTGACTGACTTTCCTAAGAGCCAGTGTTAGCAGCACATTCATAAGTCCCGCCCACAGGCTGCGCGGCGCTGCTGCTTCCAGCAGAGAGAGATCTCGAGAGCACATGAGACTGCAGCACGGAGCGCTTCTTCACAAACTCCCTGCGTTAAACATGGATCTATCGAGAAATGTGATCGAGTGCACTTGAAAAGCGGAACTTTCAAAGTCGATGTGTCAGCCTGAGGTGTTGTCGTCAGAAAGAGAGAGAAGAGTGAAGTGAAAATCTGAGGAGTATATCGTTAGACGGAGCGGATCCCGGAGTGGTGAAGCCCTATGATTAATCTTCCTTCTGAGAATATATCATTTTATTCTGCTCTGGTGAGTGAATTTTCATATATTAATCTAATATAATTCTGAAATTATTTGTTACGAGGCAATTTTGAGTAGGCCGCATGCATATCGCGTGAGTTCAGCTGGTTAGCACGTTGGGCTAAAGCTACCACGTGTAAAAGAACTTGAACTGATCCGACGAGTGTTCAAATCTCTGAGCTGAATCATTTGATTCACGAACGTGGTTCAATTGGGTCGTTTGATTCACGAAACTTGTTCAAATGAATCATTTGATTCATGATATTCATCCTTTGAACTTGAACTGATCCGACGAGTGTTCGTATCTCTGAACTGAATCATTTGATTCACGAACTTGGTTCAATTGGGTCGTTTGATTCACGAAACTTGTTCAAATGAATCATTTCATTATTTCTTGTGTTTTCAATCAATATTGTTGAATATACTGTGTGTGTGTGTGTATATATGCGTGTACTGTGTTAGGCTAACCGAGACTTGTCATTTGCACTTATATATTGTTGCTCTTTTGTTAGTTTTGACTGCTTTTGTTGTCCTCATTTCGTTTCTGTTTTTGTTCCAGAGAAGTCTTTCTTATTGAGAGAAGCGAGGATGAATGCGTTCCTCCAATAGAAGATAGCAAGGGTCCGTAGCTCCAGCTGGCTGGACAAACAAGTACTCTGGTTCTTTTGCCCCGAGGCTACGCCGGCCAAGCCAACATCAAAGTTCGTCTTCGAACTTTAGTTTCTAGTTATTATTATTATTATTATTTTGTGAATATTGAATTGAATTTAATATATTTATTTTCATTGTACTAGTACAACGAGATTGAATAAAATCCTTTGGGTGCATAGTCTAACAAAATAAATAAATCAATAAATCAAAATCTTTTTAAAACTCGCGTACTATAAACTATAATATTAATAATAATACACTTAACTTATTTTATCTTCCACAGATTTAATACACAATACACGGAGATAATACATTCAATTCTAATTTAATTTGAATTACACTAAATATAATTTTAAAAAATAAATAATTATACTGTGATGTTTGGCCAAAAATTCGTCATCACTTTGTCTCATAATGTAAATGTTTTGTATTATATTTTGCGTTAACTTAAATACAACCTAAAGATTATCGACGAATTGTGAGGAAAGAATTCTGGACTCAAAATCTCACTCCAGAGGTCAGTTAGGTAAAAATGCTAAGAGTAGAAGGTTTGATTTTTTTTTGACTGTTTGATATTATATTATATAACTTAAGAGATCTAGCGCGACATCTAGTGGCGCAAATATGAATTTCAGGTCACTCCACTGACATTTCCCTGCGCACCACGAACAGGTCGGTGCGGATCTATATGATGCTGAGATTGGGTTTCGCATGGTCTACATCATCAGCCACCACCAAACACATCGCACAGGCCAGGCTCTTCACCGGATCCCTTCTGCGAAAAAACAGTCCTCGTACTTTATATAACAACCGGTGCTCTGGACTACCAAAAGGCCTCCAGTTTGGCCAAAAGTCAGTGCTTGCCAGTACCAAGTTGTTCTGGGACAGCTCCAGGTAGGCACTGGCGTCTCACGCCGTCATGCTTCCAGGCTGAGTGCTTCATGTCTGCTCGCACAACCGATTATAAAGCTCTGAAGGTTTCGTTAGCACTACAGCTAATTCAGAGAGACCTTGATTCTATGTTTCAAATAAGTAAGCTGATGCCCAAAAATGCTGTCTAGGACAATTATTAATGTTGAATGCATACAAAAATGCTATCTAGATAGGCAGCTTACTAAGTTTTGAGACACAGCCGTTGTTTATATGCAGTAAAACGTATGCTACTGATACTGTAACTGTTCTAAAGTTTGTTTACAAATAAAAGCTGGCATATCCTGGTTTTCTAGCTAGTTTAAGCTGGTCTTAGCTGGACAGCCACCTGAAAAGTTCCCATTCTAAATCATTCTTTTTATTATTTCCCGGCCCCCTGCTTACTAAGGTCCCCTACTGCGCAGTGGCACTCAGAGCACTTTCAATATTGATTTCATTTACCACTGATCTATTCTATGATTGCTTTAGGTCTTCTGGAGTGATTTTCTTCAGCATGGCATCAGGGAGTGATGGACCGGACAGATCAAAGACCCCAAAACACACCAATCGCCTGAGTAAAGAGAAGTCTTCCTATCTATTACAACATGCGCATAACCCTGTGGACTGGTGAGATCTTTAGGCGTACTGTAAAATACAAAGTCAGTTTAGATTATTATTATTTTTTTTTTTTAATTGTCAACAAAAAGCACCCTGTTAATTCTTTATATACTACTATAATTCTTACTATAATTCTTAATAAAACATCCCTGTATTTTCCCTGTAGTACGGTATGGAAATCAAATAAGACTTCTATTAGATTTTAATTCAGTTATAGTTAATTTGAGAAGTCTTCCTATCTATTACAACATGCGCATAACCCTGTGGACTGGTGAGATCTTTAGGCGTACTGTAAAATACAAAGTCAGTTTAGATTATTATTTTTATTGTCAACAAAAAGCACCCCGTTAATTCTTTATATACTACTATAATTCTTACTATAATTCTTAATAAAACATCCCTGTATTTTCCCTGTAGTACGGTATGGAAATCAAATAAGACTTCTATTAGATTTTAATTCAGTTAACTTTAGTTAATTTAATTTTGCCATTAAATATTTTTTCTGGTGTTTTCTTCCTTAACAGGTATCCATGGGGGCAAGAAGCCTTTGATAAAGCAAAGAGTGAAGACAAGCCCATTTTTCTTTCAGGTAACATATTGGTATACTTGAAAACATGTTTTATTAGTGTTTTTTAATGCATAAGCCTAAATATTACAGTCTTTACTGCTTATTATTGCTTGCAGTGGGTTATTTAAAGCAAAGAGTGAAGACAAGCCCATTTTTCTTTCAGGTAACATATTGGTATACTGTATGTTGGATACATGTTTTATTAGTGTTTTTTAATGCATAAGCCTAAATATTACAGTCTTTACTGCTTATTATTGCTTGCAGTGGGTTATTCCACCTGTCACTGGTGTCACGTGATGGAGAGGGAATCGTTTGAAGACGAGGAGATTGGAAAAATCCTCAGCAAGAACTTTGTCTGTATAAAGGTGGACAGAGAGGAGAGGCCTGATGTGGACAAAGTTTACATGACATTTGTGCAGGTTTGGACCAGAAGAATTAATTGCTGTCAACGCCATAACTTACAAAGTGTCATGGATAATTGAAATACGATGAATACCTTGTGCCCAGGCAACCAGTGGTGGTGGTGGCTGGCCAATGAGTGTGTGGCTCACACCAGAGCTCAAGCCATTCATAGGTGGCACTTACTTTCCACCCAGAGACAGTGGAAGAAGATCTGGACTGAAAACTGTGCTTTTACGAATTATAGAACAAGTAAGAGCTGAGATTTCTTTCTCAGAGATTCTTGTAATATTTTGAATATGTTACACTTCTTCATATATGTTTCTTCCTATTAATACTTAATTATTTTGAATATGTTACACTTCTTCATATATGTTTCTTCCTATTAATACTTAATTAATTAATAATTGCTTAATAATTAATATTCAGCAAGGATGCATTGACTTGATCAAAACTGACAGTAAAGACTTTTACATTGTTACAAAAAAAGTTAATAAATACTGTTCTTTTGAACTTTTTATTAATCAAATCTGAAAAAATATTAATTAACTATTTTCAACATTAATAATAATAAGAGGTTTCTTGAGAACTTGAGCGAATCAGCATATTAGAATGATCATGTGACAATAATGGCTGCTAAAAATTCTGCTTTTAAAATAAAATTTTAAAATGTATTAAAATAGAAAACCGTTATTGTATTGTAAGAACATTTCACAATATTACGCTGTTTCCTGTTTTTACCTTTAATCAATTAAATGCAGCCTTGTTGAGCATAAGATACTTTACTTCAAAAACTTTTAAAAAATCTTACTTTAAAAAAACTTTTGAACAGTATTGAATACTTGTAAGAACATTTCACAATATTACGCTGTTTCCTGTTTTTACCTTTAATCAATTAAATGCAGCCTTGTTGAGCATAAGATACTTTACTTCCAAAAACTTTTTAAAAATCTTACTTTAAAAAAACTTTTGAACAGTATTGAATATGTAGTATTTTTTACAGTATAAATGGGCCTTTTATACATGAAAATATATAGCTGCCTTTATATTGACAATGGCATCCAAAGTTTGAAAACCTTGTACTGTGGTGCTCTGATGTCTGAGGACCTTCATACTGCGTATTTTAGTGGCAGAGCAACAGAGAAACCCTGGAGTCTAGTGGAGAGAGAGTACTGGAAACCCTCAGGAAGGGGACAGAAATCTCTGCCAGCCCTGGAGAAACTCTTCCATCCGGCCCAGATGTTGCCAACAGATGTTACCAGCAGCTGGCTCACTCTTATGAGGAAGAATATGGAGGTTTTCGAGAGGCACCGAAGTTTCCTTCACCAGGTAAACAAAACACTGGGATGAGTTGAAAGGATTTATCACTAAAGCTTGTACAGTATTTACAGTATGTCATTAATTTACTATTAGAACACAAGGTTCTGTTGACCACCCGTCTTAATTACCGGTCAAATATGCATCTGCATTAATAATGTAAAATGGCCTTGTGTTTTTCTTTTCTCCAGTGAACCTGATGTTCCTGATGTCATTTTGGGCAGTAAATCGTGCCAGCTCTGAGGGAGCAGAAGCACTGCGAATGGTCCTTCACACTCTCCGAATGATGGCACTAGGGGGAATTCATGACCATGTGGCACAGGTTACATGCAAATACGGTGTATTCAGAACCTGTCTCAACTATAACAGATGTTAAATATCAATTCTTCCCTTTTAATTGCATAACCAAACACAAAAATCTTATTTTTTTCAGGGCTTTCACAGATACTCCACAGACTCCTCCTGGCATGTTCCTCACTTTGAAAAGATGTTATATGATCAAGGCCAGCTTTCTGTGGCCTATATCACTGCTTACCAGGTGGGAATATATTTGTGTGTGTGCATTTGATATATTTTGAATATATGATATATTTTCTGTATATCTTATCTCTCCAGATAATTGCTTATATCCAGAAAGCAATAATGAAACACTGTGCTGTACTTCTGGAGTTTGTAGACAGAATAAGGACTTTATTGTTGTTAAATATAGCTTATTCTGTGTTTCTGTATCAAAAGTTAAAGAAATGGTTCATCCAAAATTGAAGATTTACTCACCCTCAGGCCATCCAAGATGTAGATGAGTGTTTTTTTTGTGTTAACTTCAAACCATTTCTTCTGGCTAAAATACAAAATAAAAAATAAAATCCTTTATCCATGATATTGCTTTCTCCATTGAAAAGTCGTCTCGTCTGAGAAATATGCACTGATCATGCACAGTTTACAAGTCCAAAACCATTCTAGATAAAAATGTGGGTGCATTTTGATGTGAGAGGACAACAGTGGAACTCTCATTCATACAGCACCCACTTACTGCAGAGGATCCCTTGATGATGTAATGTGATGTTTTTTTTTTTTCCCCCCAAATCCGTTCTGATAAAAAAACAAACTCATTTACATCTTGGGTGGCCTGAGAGTAAATTTTCAGCAAATTTTAAGATTTGTATAATGAATCAATTGACATTTCCTAGTTATGTATGGCATTGGCTTGGCTGGTTGTGGTGTTATTATGGCTGTTGATCTCTGCAGGTGTCTGGGGAACGCCTTTTTGCAGATGTGGCTCGTGACGTGTTGCTTTACGTCTCCAGAGACCTAAGCGACATGGTGAGTTGTCTCCCCCTCATTAGATCCCGCATTAGGCATCAGTCATGCTGAATCAGCACCAACCCACAAATGCACTGAAAAATCGCCCAGGTCAGAACCCTTTTTGAGGTCAACCCTCCTCCACAATCCAGCACAGGGTGCCAGCCTTCTTGTGATGATGAATGGTTTGATGACAAACACAATTAAAACCCCCTCAAATTTTGAAAATCGTATTTTTGAAGATTTATGGAGTAATTAGGTACCAACAATGCTTACCTTGAACCTTATTTATCTATTATTTTTTTGGTTGTGAGAGTTACATTAGAGGTCAGTGTTTTCCCCGACCCAAAATATACATGTTTGGAAAAAAAATACATAAAATAGCTGAAAACATTGCATGCTCTCTGTACTATAAATCATCCCCTTGTTATTATTCTGTAAATGACAACCAGAGGTTCACTGTGTGCTGAAGTTGTAAGGTAACATGTTTTAACAAGATAACTTGTGGCCAAGAAGTAATGATCCCCTCAAGAAACACAATGTACCTTTCGAAAACAGCCTACAAGTGACAAAAAAATAAATAAAACACATTTGATTATGGGCATTGTGCTGCCCTCTGCAGTCTGGTGGCTTCTATAGCGCTGAGGATGCAGATTCCTTTCCTACGGTGGAATCCATTGAGAAGAGAGAGGGAGCGTTTTGTGTGTGGACAGCAGGAGAGATCAGAGAGCTGCTTCCCGACATCGTGATTTATGTGCATTTACTGATTTGTTACTAAAACTTGTGCTCTTGGTGTTTTTGTAGGACCCCCACGGAGAGCTGCAGGGTCAAAATGTGCTGATTGTGCGTTACTCAGTGGAGCTCACCGCTGCTCACTTTGGCATCAGCGTGGACAGACTGTCTGAGCTGCTGTCCGATGCCAGAGCCAAGCTGGCTGAGGTACGGAGAGCACGCCCACCTCCTCACCTGGACACCAAAATGCTAGCTTCCTGGAATGGTAAGTTTCCCACATCCCGATTGGAAGAAAGTAAATGTGTCAGCCAGTAATATACTGCTGGAAATCCCAGCGCACTGAACCAGGAAAATACTCTAATTAGAGTTAATTGCTTTTCTTAGAGTGTTTTGAAATGGAAACAGTCATCAATTAATCAATGAGAGGCTGAGGCATGAAGAAAAATCACAATGCTTGCATCCCCCAAAGCTATATGTACCCCCTTCCTGTCTTTACAATTTTATTGATTTCATTTTGCAAACAAGGTCCAGTGTTCGACAAGCTCCGTAAATGTTTTTTTTTTTTTTCCGACTGGGTTTGCCTTAATAGCAGCACTATAATGTTAGAGTTCTTTCATGGGGTGCTTAGATGTGGTGCCAAGCCTTTAAAAGCCTACAGAGGGGACCTCTGGGTTGTGGTCTTTGCCCTCGTTGTCTTTAATGAAAGGATATCAAAGCATTCACAGGGTGCCAAGGCCCCTTGGGAGCTCTGGCTGACAAAAGCGCTCAAAGAATAGTGACTAATGAGCTGATATCTTAATTAAAGAAAGCATGAGACATTGTTTAATGAAACTGTTCCTTCCTGAGCTACGCTCCATTACATTCTTAATTCATACCGACTGGATATTGGTACCTGCAGAGGATCTCTCCGCATTAATCAAACCTGATAGGCCCACTCGCATAGCCATGAGACATGTCAGGGCTACAGGCACATGGAGCTCTGACAGGACTATTGTTAGTGATCCCCAGCCCTCTGAACACATTAGATCTTATAGTCTCTTAATGTCTCCATTCAAAACTCCTCTGTCTTGGCTGGCACCTACTGCACCTTTATCAAAACGTTTTTAGCCCTTGTTGGGGGCGAGTTTCATTATCTGAAAGGCAGAACTCTTCCAGAAAGTTTTAAATAAGCAGGTTGTTGAGCTTGATTGCCCAAGTACTTTTGCTGGAGAAACCACAGACAGAAAATGGCTTTGGCATTCCAAGAAAATTGTTTTCTAAATTGAACACGGTCAGGTTTTCCAAAGCTTGTAATCTGTGTCCACTCCCATTTCTTTGGTTGGTCAGGACTGATGCTGTCCGGGTTTGCACGTGTCGGAGCCGTGCTGGGCGACAAGGCTCTGCTGGAAAGAGCTGAGCGAGCAGCTTGTTTTCTCCAAGAACACCTGTGGGACGAAGAGGGCCAGAGGATTCTCCATTCCTGTTACCGTGGAGATAATATGGAGGTGGAGCAAGCGTAAGGAACATTTCTGGCTGTCCCAAAATAAAATGTATTCAGCCTGCAAAAGCATTGAGGCTGATATAAGAATAGTTATAGATTGTAAACTGCTAGTTTGTTAGCTTTAATCTAATTTCCCAAAATTATGAAAAGAAAAGCCTATTTAAAATAGGAAACTTAATTGGGATGTTAATTTGGCAAGTTTGTCAATGGAGAATATAGAAAGGGTGTTTGGGGATGTTTTTATGTTATTACATATTATTATCACGGATGTTGTTAACGAAAACTAAAACTATTCAAATCTTACATTTAAATGAAAATTAGAAGTGATGTTTTGGCAACTAACTAAACTAAGTTAAGTTGAAGTTGACGTACTAAAATTAGTAAAACTAAAACTGAAATAAAAAATAATTTAAAATGAGAAATATTTAAAGAATAATAAAAATGACAAGCACATTAAAAAATGACTAAAACTAACATTCAAATGAAAAAAAAATTTAATTCATATCTTAATAAATTCTATAATAGTATATAAATAAAGCTAAAATAACACACTGATCATGAGGAAGGTGTATGTACTTTTACAGTAGGCCAAGAAAACTAGCACACATGCTTGCTTCCAGGTCTTAATTGCCTTGGCACATATCCTGCCAATGTAGAAATGACCCAGAATCAGCACAGTACAAAGCTTTTCAATGAAATCGCCCACAGACACCCACACAAATTCACTGGCCTCATTCTTAGGGTAACCTCTCATTTGTACCTCTCATTAACACACTGTGTCAGCAGCACATCGGTCATCCCACAATGCTGAGTGTGCTTCTCAGGTCACGCTGATCATTTTTATAAGTTAACCCACACACCATTTGTAACTGATTTCAACTGGCTGTTTTCAGACCTTTTTCATTGAGTGCTCCGCAATGGGATAATGAAGAAGTAGCTTTGTCATGTTGTCACATCGCATAATGCTTAATCAGGAACACTCCCTCTGTAATCATCTGATTGGCCTTAATACTTTGAATTTAGCATAGGATGAGATGTTTCTTCTCTTGCAGTTCTGCTCCGTTCTGTTTGCATAAGGGTGCTGAAAAATTCTGCGTCCGTTTGTTTTTAATTTCCTTTGGAGAATTTCCCTTACAGGGAATAATTTAAGCATCCCAGCAAGAAGATGAATTACTGAGGAATTAGTTGTGTTTCTCGTCACCTGATTTCATCCATTCAAGAGGAACTACTGTCTTGCATTGTTCCTCACTTTGAATATTCCTCATTCACAGTTTTCAGTTCTCCAAAAATGAAATGGTCATTATTTACTCTCAAGCCGTTTAGATAAATGCAGAGCACTAATTCCAAGTATGGGTCACCATACTTGGCCACATGTCACTTTCACTTTCACTTTCATATCGGTATTATAAAGTAGTCCAGTGCAACTCATTTGCTATATTCCAAGTCTTCTAAAGCCATTCGGTAGGTTTGTGTGAGAAATAGACTGAAATTTACATTATTCACCGATAATATTCCCTTTGATTGAGCTGTTGATTCAGTGAATCGGTTTGATTTGTAAATGAATTGTTCAGACTGGTTATGTGAACCAGATGAATGGATTCAACACAAAAGAAGGTTTCATTCACAAATCAGACATCAACTACTGTCATGAAATCCGCCCTAACGCTTTTTGTCGAATTCAAGATTTTCAATGAATAATGGTTTAACATTCACTCTGTTTCTCACATAAAGCTATCATATGATGTGGAATATGGTGTGTGAGTCATATGGACCACTTTTATTATACTTTTATGGTGCCTTTTGGAGCTTGAAAGCTTTAGACTCATCGTAATTGCTTGGAAAAGAGCATGGAAAACAGCCTTTGCTTTTGTCTTCTGCGGAAGAAAGAAAGTCATGTGGGTTTGGAACGACATGAAGGTGAGTAAATGATGACAGAATGTTCATTTTGGGGTGAACTAATCCTTTAAAGAGCCCTGTGCCATGCAGTGAAAACATTTAAAGAGAAATCTGGCATGAATGTTTGATGAGAATGAGACCGGTTACCTGACTGTTATACTTCTCAAATGGAATTAAGGGCCTTATATTGTAATAGAAGAAATATGCTATAGTATCTGGGCCAGGTAAAAAATGTAGTGCCAGGTGAATTATTCATGAACCATCCAGTGGCTGTGCTGTTATTCCAAGGAATGTGGCAAATGGTCCAAATCTTGTTCAGCTGTATAAAAATCATACTGCATTGTGAGTAGATCTATCAGTTTGGAACAATAAGCCTTCTGGCTCCTGAGATAGATAGAGGTTAGGCTCTTTTTTATAGCTTTGGTCTCCTGACAGGTTTGTGTGGAAGTTATGATGTGGCTTTGCTGCACTTTAAAGAGACTGTATCACCTGGTGAGAATACAGAGAACGAACAAGGAGGGAATGGAAAAATCCAGGGAGAGCTGTTCATTAAAAATTGACTGGCAGGCTGATTTGTTTGTTGTCTTACAGAGAAGAAACTAAAACAGAGGAGTCATATTTTTCTCTGAACCTATAAACCGAGCTGTGGGTCGAGAATACCTGAGAAGAAACTTACCTCATGGTCCAATAAAGGTCTAGTTAGCATAGACCGTTTAGCCACTGCTACTAGATGCCATAACCATAGACTCAGCATTTGCCATTTATATTATAATAGATATTTTACCCAACCCTGTACGCACACCATTATTTAGTCGCCCAGAGTAAGATTTAGTTGCATATGCGAGTGATTTACTCGCAATGTAGAGGGTTGTACCAGTGCTCAACGTTTTTTGATATTTCCATCTGAGTTACGGTCACTGATATGACGGATTTCCCCAAGTATTGTAGACCTCCTTGGGTTCAACTTTGAAGCACAAATGTTTAGTACCTAGTCACCAGGTTTTTATCCAGATTCACCTGGCACTTATTGTACATGACATTTGAATAGTGCATTAGAGCTGACAGCTTGAGGCAATGACATGGTAGGGGTCAGATGTTGAGGGCGCTCTGCAGGCACTTCATGACATTTTTCATCCCTTGGAATGTCTGTTGTTTGAACTAAGAATTATGGAGGTTAAGTTCCTAGCTTTAGACCCGTCTCGTCCGTCCTGCTGCCGACACTGTACTATCTTCAGACCTGTCACTATCTGTTTCCTCACACTCAGCTGGCTACAGTGCCACCTCTGTTCAAGGGTCTGAGAACAAGTGATGAAGGGCCTTGATGTGATCTGAATCAAATTTATTTTAAACATCAAAGACTTTTGCAATCTTTTTGGGTGACACCACCTCAAAAGGAATTTCAAATGGCTTTTATACCACAAAGGTCCTGCTAAATGTCTTTGTATGCATTTCAATCAGTGATTTGGTAGGGCATGTCATACTTACTGACTGCTTAACCGTCTGAATCTCACCCTTTTTTGTCATGCTTACTGATTAAAGAGACAGATCACCCATAAATAAATACATTTTTATGTAATTCCAAACTTGTTTATTAAACATATTGTATGGAAAAAGAGGAATTTGAACATTTTAAGTAGAACATTCGCTTCCATTCTGTTTTTTCCCCCTTTTAACTTTCCTTTTAATAACAGAAGTGGAGTGACAGACAAAACGACTGCCTCTGACATTTCCCTCCAATTTCATGTCATGGATTGCAACAGCCAATTCTGGCAGCAAATCAACATGAAGCCCTCTGAAA